CCCCCCCGCATCTTTCTCTCGCCTCCTCAGGTTTCCGCGTTTTCGACTCAATCGGACAAGGTGATCAACTCCGGGGAGGGAGGTTTTGTGACCACCTCGGACGACGAGATGGCCGCTAAGGCCATCTACCTATCGGGGGCCTACGAAGGGCGCTATTGTGAGAAGTATCCCAATGTGCGGATGGGGGGAGAAGGGATATTCCATATTGTTTCCGTCTGTTCGACCCTTGATCGGGTTCTCCGCCCATAGACCTCGCCTCGCGGCGAGACCTGCATCTACCGATAACCCTGAGTTGCGACCACCCGCGCAGTGCCGCGCGCTCTCGCGGCGGACATCGTGCAGTGCTACATAGCGAGGGCAAAAAGTAGCGCCTCCGAGATCTACGATGACTCGACCTATCGCAGCTCAATTTATAAACAGTGCAGGCCACGCGCGACAAACAAGCAACAAAGCATCAGCATGCCACGAGGCAAAGCGCCCTACTGCTGTAGGGCGTCTCCCATTCGACCCCGACAAAAAGCGGAGGGGGTTACGATCGGTGTCGTTCTGCCAGCACAGCAGACTGCCAACTACACACGCCGGAAAATAAGAAAGGTCCTGAAAATGCATAGGTTGTTTTTCATGGATATTCGCGTTTTTCAAGCCTACTTCATAGTTCTGAAGCCCCTTTAGGGGTTCAGTTTCTGTTGCCGAAAGTTTCAGATCTATATTCGCTTTTGCCTCCAGCTTCTGTGTTCCAGGTTTTTGGCCCAAGTCGCGCCGCATCCTGTTTTTTTCGCTTGGGTATAGAGTTGGCGATCTCCGGTTTCTTCTCCAAAAGCAACTTGATTTATTCCCGTCGATGTTCTCGAGATCACAACGACAGATTTTCGAGTGAGTTCGAAGACGTGTTCCTCCTGCCCCGCCCAGCCCTCCGGCAAGTTACAGAAAGCCTTATGCCAGTTTTTGAGAAATGCGCCTTTCTTTGCTATGGCTTATTCGTAGATGTCCTCAGTGCCACACCGAACTGACACACCAACCTTTCCCACACTTGCATGCTCGTTGCGGCACACCACGACGATGTTTTAGTCCAATACGACCGCGTATCACTATTTCATTCACTATTGATCCCAATCTGTACCCTCCGCCAAGACACAGCACGCATGGCTGCTCGCTTCTTTACGGCACACAATGCAACTCTCTGCTGCACCGTACCAGCTGTTTTTTCAACACATGGATGGTCGCCATCATGCCAGCGGACTGCGGACACGTTGTACCAACATCGTTTGCTACAACTTCCACGGTTTGTAGGTCCCATGTACTGCGGAAAACGAGTGACAACCATTTGTTCGCAGAACACACAACAACTGAACTGCGGGTAGGTGCCACTACACATTATGCTGCTGACCTGTCGGCTGCCTGCCGGCAAGACTCACAGAGACAACATATGCAGATAGATAACGCATGTAGACGCTGCGCAGCAAAACTCACAACCATCATTGGGACAGATTGAGAGGCCTTCGAGTTCCTTCTCTCTCATATCTCTAATAAATTCAAGCAGGTCGGAGTCACGCCGTCATTGAGTACTGTAATGGAGCAACTAGTGTATGAGCGTTGCATGAACGTTGTGTGAGCGCTTCTTGGATATATTGAATTTTCGCTGGATATGGATATTTGGCGTAGCGGGGTATTGAAGTAGCGTGAAGGGAGACCCAAAATCCCAGCCCGGCTCCCTGACTCTCCGGACCTGGTCGAAGAAGGCTATAATATGAGATCAAACAAACAACTGTGAGTACCCGACGCTAGGAGCAACGCACTTGCTCCCTCCCCTTTTTATTGCTCTGTTCCATAACATTGGAGTGTCGTCTGGCATGTAGACACCGGTCGTTCGCTTCGGCGCGCATCGTTCGCGCGAGTATCTAGCATTTTATTCCTCCCGGGTTTTTTTGAGTTACCTGGTTTTAGAGAGGGCACGGTTTTGCTCTCTCTGACCCACTCGGCGGGGCACTTTTTGTATTGACCTTTGCTCCGGCCGTGTGCGCGACGGGCGTACGGACCCCATGAACGAGGTTCTCCCCTCGCATGGCTTTGTGTTCACCAAGAGACGACTTGGTGGACGCTGGCCCTTCTTTACTCATTGCTCGGCAGACATGCTCGCGTAGGATTGCTTTCCATGCATGACTGCTGTTTCGACCTTGTGCATGACGCGCATTTTATCCGGACCATGCCCCTTTTCCCCCAAGACGACACCATTTTCCCTGCTGTCGGGGGAATGCCTTACGCTTCCTACCTGCCTGGCTGCCCCTCCGCTTAGCGGCGACAGGCTGCCGAATGGCCGCTTTGCTGGCATGATTTGCTGCCGTCTGGCTGTCGTGGGTTGCGCTCGTTTTGCGCAGTTGTTCACAGGGATCGGAAATCCGAGAAGAAGGTGCTCTGTTTTCGAGCACTTCGATCGAGGGCTTGTCTCTGCTCTGTGGCCGGAGGACATTTTACCGGCACCGATTTCGGACAGTGTGTTGCGGTTAATGAACCGTGGTCTTGTCAAAGCCGGACGACCGAAGAGGAGGCCGCGAATGGCCACTCTGTCGGGTGAAAATTTCCGCCTTTCCTATTGGTCACCTGAGTATTTTTTTTCTCGATGTTGTTTCTACTGCATCATGCATTTGGTGTTTTCAAGCTCAGCTCATACTTTTTGCCGTCGCCGCGTTGAGGAGTTTGGATGGTGAGGGCCGGCATTATCTCAACGATTGGGTCTCGACCATCACTCGCTCAGTGACCCGACCGCTGCTGAGGCCGACCTTGCCGTCCGTTTTACCGTTTGCGGATGATGCCGCTCCTGTTCTGTCGTCTGTTTCCCCCCCTGGGGACAACACACATGCGTCACTCATGGCAACACAGGGTGTGTGCATGTCGACTCCACAGCAGATTCCTCTGCTATGGCACGGTTGCAGGAGGATCTCCGTTCTGACATGGATGTCAGCTCAGAGGCGGCAGGAGAGCAAGAGTAAGCGTGCTCTTCTGCTACTGGCATGCTCCCGGCGTCGAAGGATACACGGTAGGTGTGTGATAATATTTATCATACACCTACCTTGTCTTTATTATCATTCACCTACCGTGTCTTTATTATCATACACCTACCGTGTCTCCTTCGACGCCGGGAGCATGCCAGTAGCAGAAAATGGGCACATACACGTACATTTCCCTGTACAATTAACTAGACGTTGTCTTGCTGAGGTGTTGTTTCATGCCACATCTGCATGTTAATTCGCTGTGCGTCTCCGCTCTTAGATAATTTTTGGAAAACAAGTTCACATATGCATGCACTTCTGTTTATTTCCTCTCATCTTAAACTCGACCCGCACACAGTTGACATTGCCATCCAGCCTACGCGTAGCGGCGACCGCGAAGCGGTACACCGCGAAGCGCCCTTGTAAATAGAACAGATACACCGAGCGTCAGTGTTTTCCATGACGGCAACCCAAGGTGTGATTCGCTGTTATGTTTGAGTGGTGTCTAGGTATTTTTATCCAGCGACGACTAAGTTAAGCAGGACCTTCGTTGGGGTAGCCACAATAATGAGTTCATGGCGTGGTAGACGTAGCCGCTGATGGAACATTTATATCGCCCCGTCGGACGAATCAAGCTGCGATGACCCTTCTCCAACTTGCTGCCAAGCCCCGATTTTGTAACAAAACACCAGCAACTTGTTCCTAGTTACAGCAAAGTATGTCTTACGAAAACCTGAAATAAGCGTGAAGCGATATTCGCCTCAATGCTGCTTAGCCATTCGTTGGCTATGTCGCCATGCCACACCACGTGTTGTCCTGGCTTGTGTCTTGGTGGTTGTCTGTGTACCCACTCGCCTCGCGTGCCGTTAACTTGCCCCCATCCATGCACCCACCATCGCAGCCAAGCACCTGGTGCGCCCGTCCGATGCCCTGTGCGAGGCGGCCAGGTTTTCTGAGCCAAACCTGTCGGTCAGGATGAGCGAGACCACCGCCGCGGTGCTGAGGCCGCTCCTCAAGAGTTTGCCCTCGAGGGTGCTGGAGTACAACCGCAGATACAATATCGTGAGCAGTATAGATGCGTGCGGAGGCACCGAGCCAGGACGAATTTCACACCCGCGTGACTTGTATTAGCCTCTCCGCGATTCGCTTCGCGAGGAAGTCTGAACCTTCGGTGCGAACACGACCGCATGGGGAGTCGAAACCCTTGTTTATATCCTCATGGGACGTACGCGTGTGGCTACGTGCATTGGCAGTATCGGAAATTGTCCCATTATTCGTTCGTGAGTGCGAGCTAGAGGTACCCGATCCGCAACTCGTAGTGCCGACCGCACTTTCGTTAACATTCCATGCGTAGGGGAATTGCTTTAGTGACTACCGTGCTCTCGGTGGCCATCCTGCCGCCGTGTGAGCGTTTTTTTTCTTGGTTTCGTGCTCGCCACCCTTCTTGAGCGTTTGTGGACGCCCGTGTATTCATGGTGCGAAGATGCTTGTGTAGGCATGCTATGCGAGCGAAGTAGCGCCTTTCTTTTTCCCAATGGAATTGGCTGTCTACTCCCCCCGAGTTGTTGTGGATCACACGGGTGTCATGAGCTCGTTGTATGTTAATGTTCCATAATCATGGCCCAAGGAATAGCGCATGTTACACATATATGGCGTGAGGGCAGGGAGAAGGTTCGATGGGGATACCAACTCCGGGCCCAACCCTAAACAAAACGTTTTTTTGTCAGGTGGTCAAGACAATGGAGGCAGAGGCTCTAGGGTTGATCGATGTGCCGAAACAGCACGAACTGGTAGGCGCGGTCGGGGATCACCTCAACTTTCGACTGAAGAAATTTTCCGACGAGGGTAATCTCTCTTTCCAGGTATGTACCTATTGGCACAATCAGCCGAGCTAAACAAATGTTGCGCTAAACAACAGAGTTGAATAACTGCCGGCGCCCCAAGTCGGTCGAGTGTGATGGTTTCGGTTCGCTAAAGGGAGTCCAAGTGATGTTTTAGAAGGGCTCAAGGGCAGCAGCCTGCAATGCAGATTGACATACATGCGACGCTTCGTTCATACCTACCCCTGATCTGTTCAACACACCCTCCACCTGCCCCCCATCCACCTTTCGTTGGGCCTTCTGCCACGAGGCTCGGGTGCCTGTGAGCTGATTTAGCTATGCTGCACCACCCCCGCCCTACTACCATTAAGGTTGCTGAACAGCCCGTTCCGTTTGAGGCACCAGTCGTTCTACAAGCCCGACTGTTTCTTATCGGTGGACATGTAGCGCTCGGGATTTCTCGGAACCGAATTTATTTCCGCGATCACTTCCCCCTCAAATTGTCTTCTTGTAGGCCAAGTGCAAGGAGCTCGGGGTGCCTGTGAACTGGCTACGCTCGGGTGGAAACGCGCGATGGCACGTCAATTGGCGAGGATTCGGCTGCCCCGCGCAAGACTTGCCGGTGACGGACAGCGCGCTGGCGATGGCGTACGACCTCAAGCTCCCGCCGTACTTCGAGGACGAAGACTTCGTTCACCTGGCGCGCATCATTGCGTACGCGGCGCGATCATGTTGTCGTTCCGCCGCGGACGGTGGTGGCAGCCCACGGGTTTCGCCGCAGCACCAGCAGGAAGAGGTGGGGCAGGAGCGGGAAGGCGGGGGGGTGGAAGGCACGCAGCCGCAGAAGGACACCGAGGAAATTTCACCGGGAAAATGTGTCGGCGCACACCCGTAAGAGGGTAGGGGAACAGGACAAATGAGGACGAGTTTGTTTCTTGGCTCGCGGGTTTGTTTTTGTAAGTGAGACTGAGTCATCGCTCTTGTATTTGCGGTGTGTCCTCACGGGGACGGTGTGGGAAGTTTCCTCACCATACCACTCGCTTGTTTGGTTCATCAACTTTGTATAACGTTTGTTAGGGACCGTGATCGCGGCAAGTGATTGCGGCAATACCCCAAGATTGGCTGGAGAGACCCATCTGTTGAGGAGTTAGAGAGGTATGTCAGTGAGTTTGACACCAAATTGTGCTGGTTTTTTGGGATGGTGATTGCGGTAGTAACATGACGTGTTTCGAGAAAGCCCTCCGTTGAGAGGGTTGGCCGTTGTGCGTAAGTGTGCCATCAATGACTGTGCCGTTTCGCATTGTCGGCTTTTCCAGGAGTGCCCGTCGGCCGGGAGTGAAAGTCATGCTGTATCTCCATTGATGTCTCGGATGAAGTTTGTTTTGAGGAAGGCGGGTGAGATTCGACTACCGTTGGCAGCCGGGCACGGGTTGTTTTCGAGGGGTGGCATGCCGCAGGGATATGCCACGCCCCCGTGTCAGGAACTCCTACACGGACCAGTAGATTCAGGGACAAAGCTGAAGGTCAAATTTGGGATTGGGGACAGCGGTCTTCGAGAACGCAGACGAAGATTTAGGACGGCAACAAGTTGAAGTGGGAAAGTAGTTACGAGTGCGAAGACCGGGTTCATGTAGTTGCAGAATGTCCTTTTTGTCAAAGGTGGGAGAAATGCACATGACTGAGCTGGGAAAAATGAAGAGGGGGTTACAGATGTTTCGGGCATGGGATAGTCAGGAGAAGGCGTGGCTATTCTGGGACATGGGACGTGGGATGAAAAAGGCGGGAAGTGATACAGGATAGATAAAAACGGGAAAACAATTTTGAGCCACCTTCGGCTAATTAGGAAGTAACAATTGGACATCGGTGGTTGGTCCTATGGGAAGAATGCTCAGTCCTCTCGAAGACGCATGGTCACTGGTCTAACCACTAAGGCATGCAAAACATGAGTATGCCCCCCTCGTGTTGGGAACTCCCGGTGTGTATCTGCGTATGTATTTAAATGTTCAAGACACGGCGGCCCCGGTGATGTGTTAGTTGTATGGAGTGTTTTTTGGCGAAAGTCAAGCAGAAACATCCTACAAAGAGTGATGTCCTTCGCTTTACTAGGTCTCGTTGAAAAGGCGAAGAATCGGAACTTGCGCGGCAGGTAGATCCTCGTGCTTGTGTGCACCAGCGAATTGTGCCGTTCAGCGCTGCCGGCGTTCCAGGAGAGCAAGTCGGCCGGGAGTGAAAGTCTTGCTGTATTTCCATCGATGTCTCGGGAGAGGTACGTTTGAAGAGGGTGGATGAGGGTCGACCACCGTTGGCTGCCGGGCGTGGGGTGCCTTAGCGGGTAGCATGCCGCAGGGATGCTACGCCCCCGTGTCGGGAATTCCCCCGTGTATCCGCTTGCCGTGTTTGCTGTTCAAGTCCATGACGACGCCAGTCGACGTGTCACTTATGTGGAGTAGTCTGGCGTAAGAAAACTACGAACATGATGTTCGGAGCAAAGCATTATTTCGCATCACCAGGCCTCAGTTTATGTTTTTTCTGCGATTGTGATTTAGTGTGCACAGCTCGCTGAATTGGTGAAGGGGTCACCTCGCAGCGACTTTAGAAGCCATGGTAGATGCGCCGAAAGCTGAACATGCATGCACGTATGTTTGCATAACGGGACTCAAGTTGGCATAAAAATGCTTAAGGTCACCGCCGGGTGGGTCGTTCACCCATGTGTTATACGCTTGCAGTTAACCACAAGAGCGAAAGTCGAGAATCGCAGATGTTTCCTCACGCCTTCACAAACGGAGAACCCCCTCCTCCCATCACACTCGTCAAATCAAGGCGGGGGGGGCGATAGGCCCCGGCGTCCAGAGACCCTTGTAGAGGTAACAAAAATAACGGGTGATTTGCATGGAGCGCTGACGTGCAAGCGAGGGAACTCGGGGGTAGACCAAGATGTTCACGTTGACCCTTCACCGCGCGCACCAGGAAACCCCGCCTCACTCCTCTTCTTCGAGAGGTGAACGACATTGGCCTATTCACCCGACCCACGTGTTGCGGAATCGAGGGCCCATTCGCGAGGCCGATGCCCAGCAACCGTTAACCATACAAACCTGACACACTAATTACTAGTCTTCCGCTCCAGAGAAATATTCAACACCACGAAATCTGGCACACGTATGATATAAGGAGTATTTCTTGTGTGAGCGTTGTATGAGCGCTACTTGGTTATATTCATCTCTATCCACGGATGAGAGTCCAGGATAAATTTGAAATCAATACACATCGTTAGCGGAAGCACTACCAGTGTTTCTAAGGTTCCCCGAGCAGCACACAGCGATATCTCCCCTGTGAGTGACAGGCTCTACAAGACATTGTGGTGGCCACCTTGTGGATCTGACTGACTGTATATAATGCTGGGACGGTGCAGGAAGATGTTGGGAAGGGTTTGGGTATTGGAGTGTTCTGTTTGTCACGCCCTTAGAAAAACAAACAATAAACGTATGCCTACGTTACATGTTACATTCCCTATTCCATGTTGACCCATCCTTGGTTGGCGGTGGCTGTGGCGCAACTCTCGCAGCTGTCTATATGGCGTAGGTGATTGTGAGCTTTCGTTGGATACGGATGTTTGGCGTCGTTGTTGGATATTGAAGCTTGAAGGAAGATAAGATTGGAATCTCAACCCCGCCCTCGCAATTTCCCAGTGAACGCTGAGACGACCTGGTCCAAGAAAGCTATTACAAGATCAAACAACTTGTGAATACCTCGAAGCTACTCTGTAGGGGCAGCACGGCGGACCTACTCCCTACCCATATATTTGTTCCTCCGTAACAGTGTGGCGCCGCCTTCCATTTGGCCTCCGGCCATTTGTTTCGGTGCGCATCGTTCGCGCGTGTGTCTCGCATTTTATCCTCTCGTTCTTTTATTGCTTGATTTTGAGAGGGAACCGTCTTGCTCTGCCCGACTCACTCGGTGGGACTTTTTTCATTCGGCTCTGTATGTGCCGGGCTTTTCAGAATCCATGAACAAGGTTCTGCCATAGTCTACACGATTTTCTTTGTGGCTTGACCATCCCCTCCACGGATGGCGGTATCACGTCACGGGTGCCAGGCGTCGTGGCGCGGTTGTCAGTCGCGCCATCCGGATCTGTGCTTTGACGTTTCCGCCTTAGTTAGGGTCACTACATCACACTTTTGCTGCGTTTCATGCGTAGTGCGCCGTGGTATTTTGTGTTGGAAGTGGAGCGAACTTCTTTTTTTTTGCATTAGTCTAGTCATCCCGAGTTTCGCGGTTTCGCTGCAATCGGACATCGTGGTCAATTCTCGCTGGCCCTGTCTGTCGGCTGCTTTGAGATTCTCAGTAGTCATCGAGTGTGTGGTTCGGGGATAATGGTTTGGAGTGCTTTGTCGGGGATGAAACATTCTCCGCCACTTGTTGCATTCAATGGTGCTTGGTGTGGAAAGTCGCATATCTGGTCTCTATTTTGTGTTGAGCATTGGTTGAGGATAGGGTATCTGTATATACGACTTCCCTGAGTGGGCTAATGTAATGGAGCAACAAGTAGTGTGTGTATTTGTATGAGAGTTGTATGAGCGCTACCTGGATCCATCTGGATGTTTTGAATTTCGTTTGATGCAAATGGATCTTGGGGCTTGTGTATTTGGGTAGCTTAAAGGTAGATCAGAATCCCAGCCCCGCCCTCGCACTCTTCAAGTGAGCGCTGAGAGGACCTGGTCTAAGAAAGGCCATTATATCGAAGCCAGGAACAGCGGATCTGTTCTCTACCAACTTAATTGGAAGGTCTTTATCCCTCCGTAACACACGTACGTACGTGAAAGCGGATCGAGTACGGACGTATTGAGTCTGCTAACAAATGCTGCGCACATAATAGTGCCGATCGGGTGCGGACTTTTGCACACCAGCGAAAATCCAAATACTTCGAAGAACACAGACTGCAGACCTCAAACCGAAGTCTATCTCCTCTGGACATAGAGCCAATATTGTTGCGTTTTGCAGACCTGGCAAAGATATACCGTCAAAGATATACCGGAGGAGGTATACCTGTCTGCCAGATGTCATAATAGTAAATGCTTACGTATGCATAGAGGAGGAGTAGTTGTACGGATATTGCCGTAGCCGCATACACCCTGCCGGTGCACTTACCGTATATGACACAAGATAACACACCCCGGTAACATTTTGGAGTTTGAAAATGCTGTCACCGGGTGTGGTATCCTGTGGGGGGGGGGTATTATCTTGTGTACCCCGGGTGATACAGTGCAGCTCGCAGGGGCCCCTAAGGGGGTGTGATAAAAGGGGGTGTGATAGCACGTCCGAACAGCCACGGCGTGTGTTTTGGGGTGTGATAAATGCAGGGGTGTGATACACTGCTTGTAGAGATGAACCGCTGCTGCCGCACACTTGAAAGGGTGTGGTATTGCGGAGGCGTGATAGCCTTGCCTGCACGTACACGTGCAGTGTAGGGACTTACCTAAAGGGGCGTGGAAAAACAAAGACAAAGGGGCTCAACCGAGGTGACGAAACTCCTGAGCACATGACCTCGGCGATAACTCAACCCCCTCATCGCCCAAAAAAATTTGAAACAAAAACGGGCTTGAATCGAGCAACAAAAAATATATATATATCGAAGGTACCTCGACCGACACGATGATTGGCGATGGCCACAGACTGCGCCATCCTTCCTGCCCCCCTCACAAAAACGTTCGCTGCTGCTTGCCTTGCTTTGGGTACGACCAAAAGAGAGCTACGTAAAGACACTACGAACAAGTATCAACGACCGCAAGCCGCAAATCTAGACTGAATACGAGACACAAGAACGTTGCACTCCACGCGGTGAAGAAAACAGCCGACAGTTTCTTCACACCCGCTCAAAGACGACGGAAGGAACAGAGAGGCACGCCAGGAAAAACCCGAGGAAACATGAGAAGGACACCACAAGCCATTTGGTCAACACCAGCATCGCTGCCGATGCCTCACAGCTCCTCGCCCTCGTCGTCGCTCACGTCCACCACCACCCCGACCGTGTCGTCATCGTCGTCGATGTCCAACACCTCCAGCAAGTTCTCGCTTCCGGACGACGAGTCAGCCTTGTCCGCAGCGTCGGATGGCGCGCCGATGGGCTCCCCCTTGGCGTTGGCGCCGAGCTCCTTGTTGGCCCAGGCCTCGTCTTCCGACCCGTCGAAGGGCAGCAGCAGGCCAGCCTTCCTCCAGCTCGAGCGGATTTAATCCGCGGTCAAGGCATCCCACGCCTTCTTGGCTCACTGTGCGACCAAACCCCGCAAAGGGGGCTCCGGGTAGCCGTGGTCGTTGCGCGTGACGTCCTTGGAAGCCATGTGGTCGTCGTAGAGCCTGGACATGTATGCCTTGAAGATCTTGTTGACGAGGCCATCGCACGGCTGGAGCTTTGGAGTCAGGCCTCTTGGAATGGGGAACAGCGTCGTGTTGGACTCCTCCATCGCCTTGGTAGACGCGTCTGTCTTGTGGACGGTGTAGTCGTCCCACGCCAAAAGCGTGTCAGGCTGACGGTAGCCGCCCAGGCGGCCCTGCCGCCCCGGGCGCCGGTTCCACACCTGCGGCACCCACACGTCGTCGAACACCCGCTGCGAGTGCCATCCCTTGGGGTCCACGGCGTAGGCCATACCTCGCGGGTACGCGCAGCCCTTCCTGTCCTTGTAGTTCTTGAACTCGCGTTCGATGCTGTTGGCGGCGGGGGACTTTCCCTTCGGAGTGGACTGACCCTTGAAGATTATTTTGACGGCAATCTCCTTCGCGCCCGTGGCCTGCGGGATTTCGTAGAACAGCGAAAACCGACATCAACGTGGGATGCGTGGAAACGACTTTTGTTGTCAAGATTCGGAAAGTGACAGCAATGGTTGCAAAAAAACATGACCAAAATCAGAGAACAGGAAACGAAAGAAAGGACGCAAACTACCTACAGAGATAGTTCCTCACAACAAAAAGGGTGGCCCAAAAGAAGCGTTCACGGAGGGAAGGACAGGATTGCTACATGTAACGCAGTACGAGCAAAAAACTTGGGCACAACTAATGCTCACGTTCACAGTATCCTTCCCCGGGCTCTCGAACCAGGTAGGGGTTTCGTCCATGTTGCCAATCTGCGCCAAGGCGAACTTGAGACGCGGCCCCGAAAGAACACCAGCACCACTCCTACCCCCGCTGCCGCTCGCGCTGCCTCCCGCCCCTGCCACAACCCCCAGGCACTCGACTCCGTCCGCAAGTTCGAGCGCGGAAGGCACGTCGTACTTCAGCCTCCTCCACTCCATGATCGCCTGCATGGCGACCAAAGGCCAGCCAGAAGGGAGTTTCTGGCCTTGCCGGGTGACAGCTCGCACAGAGAAGCGGTAGACCTNCCCCTGCCACAACCCCCAGGCACTCGACTCCGTCCGCAAGTTCGAGCGCGGAAGGCACGTCGCACTTCAGCCTCCTGTACTCCTTGATCGCCTGCATGGTGACCAAAGGCCAGCCAGAAGGGAGTTTCTGGCCTTGCCGGGTGACAGCTCGCACAGAGAAGCGGTAGACCTTGAGAAACCTTCTGCACCACTGGTTCTGCCTGTTCTTGTACTTGAGGGAGCCCTGGAGATCGGATGGCGCCGGCCTCTCCCCGAAGAAGTTCGGCTTTAGTTCGACAGCCTTGTTCTTGATCATCTTCGTCGAAACACGGGCGGATGCCGTCAGAACGCAGCTCGTTGATCCAGTCCACGACCTCACGCTCGGCCGCCGTGTGCGTCCTGATCCGTCCGACGTTCAGCGACAAGCGGTTGTTGGCTTTCTTCTTGCGCTTCGCTCCTCCCTTGTACGTGTCCGCTTCCGCCAGCGCGGCATCGTACTCGGCGACGTTCTTGAACCACGCCGCCAACGTCGCCTTGTCGGGAATCTTCAGGATCCTGGTCGCGTAGATTATCCCAACAGTCCCGTTCGGCCCTTGCGCCCCCTTGATCTTCCTCTGCGAGTACCTCACCGCATCCACCTTAAACTTCAGAGGGTAGCGCTTCCTTTGGCTTCCACCACCAAGCTCGGGGATCGGGAAGTTCGGCGGCTCCAACTCCAGCTGCCCTTTCTTCCTCTTGCTCCTGTTCTGTGCCGGCGTACCAACATGAACGCCGCCGAGCCCATCTACCCACTCTGTCTCTCCGGGAAACATCACGTCGCCGGATGCAGCATCGTTGGCCACCGGCGCTCCTCCCGCTGCCGGCGTTGCTGCTGCCGGTGCTGGAGCTGGCGCCGGTGCTGCTCCTGATAGAGGCGCTCCGGGTGCGCCACCCACCCTACAGAAGGCGAACGGAGACAAATATGTGCGGGAAGGCACGAAGTGGTCAATGTTGGAACGCACGGAAACGTGTGTCGTGTGGGCGGAAACCAAAGCTGTACAAAGAGTATGCTGATTGATGTTTGGTCGACAAGGGCACCGTGTCCATTTTTCCAAAAATCGTTTGGCGGTTGAAAGTACACTTTAGGGTGAACAAAAAATGTGCAAAGCAGCACCATTGAAAATTAATCAGGGTGGTATGGAGATGCCAGCTGCAAACAAAGCTGCGGCATTTTCACGACACAAAACGCCATGCAGGAACAAGAATCATACACAAAAAACAACTTTAAAATGTGTACAATACCGACGAATGGCCATAACAATGCGAACGAAACAATTACGAAATGGGCACGCAACGACCGAATCATTTTCCGGCAGCGTGTGGAAAAAAAAAAGCCACGTGCACACAAAAAAACTTACAAACTGTGTACCGGGAACGTGTGGTTAAAAAAAGCGGCTGCACACAAAAGGAACCCTAAAAAAATACACGAACCCTGGAGTGTGCGGGTGGTGCAAAAGCCAACCCACAATTGCACGTTTCGAGACCACACGCGGACTGATAATACGTCAAATCCACGAAGCACATGTACACTCGCTTGGATCGTGCTTCCGTGCCGACGGAAGTGCTGGGCTCCTGGTCCACCACGTCCACCACAAGCTGAGATGCTTGGCTGGTGTGCGTTGACTCGTCTGCTGCGGTGCTCATACGTGCTGCTGAAAGCAAGAGAGCAACTGGCTGCTGCTGCTGAGGCGATGCGGAGGCTGTCATGTTGGCGCCTGTTGCTGTTCCAGCTCCTGCTGCTGTTAGGTCAACAGGAGCAGGAGTAGGAGCCTCTTGCGTAGAAGAGGTGTGCGCGGGCCCAAAGAAGGAAGTGATCTGCTGTGGCGCCTGCGCTGCTGCAGTCGAAGTTGTCGAAGGAGCGGAGGTACTTGCGGCTGCACTCTGCTCTGCCTGCACGTTCATGTTGTTGGGGTTCTCCATGCGGGGTATTTTCCCGCACACAGCTGCCGTGGTTGTATGTGTGATTGCCCAGGGCAGATGCTGTCACTCCCGTGATATAAAAGAAGGGGCCCCGTGACTATATGCGGCGCAATTAAAAACATCACCGGGGTGTGTAATCTTATATGGTGATAAATCGATGGTTTGTCAGAAGCGCCCAAAACTACCACCGGGGTGTCGTATTCTGTGGGGGGTGTGCTTTCTTATATAGGTGTGTTATCTTGTGTCATATACGGTACACGTCAATCTACAACATTTCAACAGGGCAATATTGGTTGTTTTGCCGACCCGTTGCTCTAAAGGTGTCTCGATTTTCGAGTTTGCCTACGAGTAGCGTTGACAGTTCCTCCTAGCGTGTTGTCACAGAATTGTTGCGAATAGAGCAACCTCTCCAGCCACATGTTGTATTTATTTCATGAAATTCAAGGGGGTTGTTGGGGGAGTTCCGGTTGCCCTCAATATATCGCAATCAAAAAACATATACGAAGTATAGACTATCAGTAATTTTTTGACATCAAGGTCAGCCTTCATGCAAGGGGATGTTTCCGTTTGACTTATCCATCACAGCTACCCTTCACGGCTTACTCTACAGGTGTCGCCAAATGTGTGACTAGGTAGCATAGACGGTACCTCTTTAAAACTTGTTGTTACAGTAAAAGGGGACTTGCCGGGTATCTTCCCGGTGGCGTCGTGATATCCGCTCACTGTTATGCTCGTTGCATCAAGTACGGGGGGCAGTAGGGTGTCCCCCGTCGGCGGCATGATACTCGTGTGACGAGCTCGAATGGCCGGTTAGTCTTTTACGCGTACCGTCTACATCGCCGCATCATCCACTACCGGAAGCTGAAGCCTCCCACGTCCGGGGCCCTTGTATTGGATACTAGAAATACTTCGATATTTTGAAAGTTTTGCAGCAATCTGCATGCAGCGTAGTACTCTGTGAACACTCGTTCTACAGGATTGATGTGAACACGAGGGGTTTCGGTGACTTCCGCCACCACGCTAACAAAGCGATTCCAAGGTCCATGTTTTTATCGCCCAAAATACATCATTTTTATATTGCGTTATTGAGCAGACATGGTGAAGATGGTGGTTTGTATAGCGTGTCTTCTCTGACGCTCATGGTTGGTACTGTGGCGATTATCCCCCATCCATGGATTGTCGCCGCATCACCGATGCACCCGGGATAACCATTCTCGCGTGAACTAAGAGACGTAGAAAACCACAAGACGGGGGCATGAAAGGGAGACCGAAAGACCTACCTAATATCTGATTGACGAAGGCAGCGCCGCTGTCGCTGGCCATGGCTGTTTCACCGATGCGTGGACGAAGACGACGCAGCAACACACAAAGGACGCGTTGAATTCGAACCACAGAAATCCGCTGGTTGATATCTACGGCAGAAAGAGCGGGATAGAGAGGAAGTGAGGGAGACAGCAAGGATACATACGTAGCCGAATGCTGCGTGTGCGCACACATAGATTCCATGGAGCCTATATCATATCTGAAGCACCCGGATGACTGCGGACTTCGATCTGCAAGAATGAAAGAATGGTTGGGTCGCGTGTGTGTGCGTATACACATGCACTCGATGGAGCCTTTGTCTGTCGGGCGCGGATGAAAATGGTTGACGACGAAGGATACCGCCGAGCGACTCCACTGCCGTTGGACTACGCGGAACGGATGGGTGGGGTGATCGAAAGCAAGGATGATGGATATCTTCATGCGGAAACGCGTGGATGACTGCAGCAAGTTTGATTGCCGAGCACTCAGCGGATAACCTGACTTCGTTGCACACGGATCATGACTCACTGCCGTGCCGTGTTGCTGGATCGATGCGTGCAAACAAAGAAATGCGATTGCGAATGCGAAAGCAGCGGGAGCACTTGGCAGAGGCCGAAGAAGGCAGAACGGTCACAGCGGACAGCAGTGAACGGTAAAGCGGACAGTCGAACGTATTCCTGTCTATCCCTTCGTGACGCCGCCTTTCGAGAAACAAGCGGCGACAAAAAAAAAATAAAACAGGATTGGTTGACAGTCGCAGCAGCACTACCTGCACCATGGAGCCACACACCCATACATGTATAGCCTATTACTGTACGCACGTGGCTTTATTGTGGAGTCTCCACACCCCACGGTGTGCACGTGTACCAATGTTGTGCCTCGTTGTGTTGAACCGCGTGATTGTGTGCGAAGCACACATACAACCAGAGCCCGGTACCAGTTCATTTTCCCACGACGAGATGCTCCGCCATCATTTGCCGCATGCAAATAGGCTATGTGTTGCTCAGGCCCTTCTTTATGGTTTCAAAATCTTTATCTTCCTTTCTTTCGACACATGTTGACTTTTTCGACCTTTTGGGCAATCTGCCTCCCAAACGAGTGCGAATCAGCTGTTCGACCTTTGAGAACAGTCACAGCTTTGGCTGAGATGTCTACAGATCGCCTACATGTTTCGCCAGGGTTCACGTTTGATTTTTTTCCAGCAGAGCATGGTGTTGAAGATTCGGCCGAAAGGCCCCCTCGGAGCAAATCTTGGGCCAAGATCTGTCCAAAAGCTGGTGTTGGAAAAATCTTGCGTGAAAATTGCGCACCTTGAAAAAATCAAACGTGGACCCTGCGAAACATGTAGGCGATCTGTAGACATCTCAGCCAAAGCTGTGACTGTTCTCAAAGGTCGAACAGCTGATTCGCACTCGTTCGGGAGGCAGACTGCCCAAAAAGTCGAAAAAGTCAACATGTGTCGAAAGAAAGGAATATTAAGATTTGGAAACCATAAACAAAGGGCCTCAACAGCGATCCAATACGGATAACCTATCATCGTTTTCACGCGACTAGTCTATGCTTTCTTAGATGACGAGTGTTGAAAAGCACAATGACCACAAGACTACGTAGTCTTGTGGTCATTGTGCTTTTCAACAAAAGTCAATGCCCGTGTCCGACCTGGCATTGCAGCCACGAACACGTTCCCACAGGGCTGCCATCCCTGTGATCAGCGCTGTGTTGCCCGGAAATTGTATCGGTACAAGAGGTTCATTGGCGTGCTTTGCGAAGTATCAAAAAACTCTTTCTCCTCTTACACCAGGCGCAAAGAAATTTATGCATGAGGGGGGAAGTGAACCCCGAACACTGGCATATGTTGAGAAGCATAGTGACCACTAGACTACTAGTACTGACTCGTAGTTTAGTGGTCATTGTGCTTCTCAACAACGGGGTCAACGCCAAATCTTACATCCAAGTCACATGTGTACATGCGACAACATCAGTGTACCGCCGTACCATATGGTGTTGCTACAGCAGTAGCTACGGTTCACCATAGACTGCTGTACTATTTTCAATTGTTTCCTGTTCATCGCACGTATCACTCTTCGTCTCGCCCCGCCTCTTCTCCCTTACCTCTCTGTATCTTGCAATCCTACACTCCCTTGCCTGGAGATTCGGTCCCCGCCGCCCACGGGCTCTCAATGTCATGTTTACATGTTTACATCACGTTCACGCGGCGGATCTCCCTCGGGACCGCCGAGTGCGTGCGAAATCATACGGGGTGGAAAATGACAGTCTCGCGCAGCCGAAGTTGGGAAGTGCGCGTGCGGGGGGATAAAATTGAACAATACAATTACATCGGTCCACTTCTTCCCGTCTGCTGTCATGGTTCGTCCCACGCGTTGCGGCTGGTCATTGCACCCTCCATCACCACGAACCCGTTCGGTAGGTAACACCTTGGCGTGCCTTTTGCTTCTTCCGCTCCGTACGAAAGGTCTGCTGCGAACGACAACAACAGCAGCGCCAACATCATCTGCCAGACCTCGGGCGCGATCGACGTGGAGCAGGAACTACGGCAGCAGGCACACCCGGCGTGATGCTATGACCGCTGTGCATAGCGATAGCGATGGTACTGCTTTGCCGAGGTCTGCACCACCACCATCAGTCTGTGTCATCGGTGCAGGTGCAGCTGGTTTGGCAGCTGGTCGGTGTCTCCGGGACGAGGGGTGTCGAGTGACGATTCTCGAAAAGTCACATGATGTCGGAGGGGTGTGGAGGTACAAGCCGGAGCCGGAAGCTCGGGCTCCAATGTGTGAGTCCCTCTTTGCTGTCATCCGTGTCTTCGCTTTGCTTCCGTCATCATGGCGACTTACTAATATTGATGGCGGTTCTTGCATCTCCGTGCAGTTTCTGGCGGAGGGCTTTTGAAATCGCTCTTTGCACTGCTACCGATGTCGCCTTCTCGATGTGGACAGCATACGCGTGGTGGGGTGCACAGCGTGTCATTGGCGTGCGTGCTACCTACGTAATACCAGGACATTACTTGCAACGGTTTGGCGCCGTGGACACGACCATGGCGGAAGGATAGACTTTTGCACCACGGTTGTACATATTCATGCGTGTCTTGGGCTAATATCCTGCCTCATCGGCACGTCTGCTGATCTTTCGCGCCAATCTACATGCCGTAGGGAGCATATGTTGGCTTTCCTTTGCCATGTCGGCCCCTTGGCTTTGGTTTACCTACTGGCCCACGGCCGGGTGAACGGCCGGGTGAAGGGGGGTTTATCCTCTGATTGCTTCTAGGACAAAACCGCTGAAAGTTCGTCCAACGTTCGGTATCCATACGATTCATGTGCATTCATACAGGTAAACGGGTTTGGTATTCATCAGACTTGTCTAGGATCCCAACTTCCCCTTCTACTTCCGGGCAAAGTGACTCGCGACGGCGGTACCATCACGTAGCGCCTCGTGCTTGGTTGTACTGAAAGCATGCCTTGCGGACGTTCGACGTCATGGCGAAGCGAGGGTCAGGATAACCAAACACCTCCTCGTTGGCCATTTCTAGCCAACCATAGCGAGGGCCACCAAACCACATACTGATAGTCCTACAGAAGCCGTAATCAAACCATTAGACTATATGCGGCGAAATGAAGATTGGACGGATAGTAGCGCTGGCAAGCGGAGTCACCCTCCTCGGAAGTGAAAGTGTCGGGGCTAACGACCCGCACGACAACTTTTAAACAAGCCGGAATCAAACTATTAGACTAACCAGCGCTGACTTGTCTGATGGTTTGATTCCGGCTTCTGTTGTCCAACCCCCTCTCACAGTTAAGAACCACGGCACAGCAATGGCAGCACACATGTGCGTGTACCGTAACACCGATGCAATGAACCATATGGTTAGTTTTCGGTTGCTTTCCTACGTAATTTCCTCTCCAACTCCGGGTGTGTCTCTCTGGCCCTGTCTGTGCCCCTGTTGCTGTCTGTCGCTGCCCCTTTCTCTGTCTCTGTCTGTTTGTCTGTCTGTCTGTCTCTCTCTCTCTCTCTCTCTCTCTCTCTCTCTCTCTCTCTCTCTCTCTCTCTCTCTCTCTCTC